TGCTGAAAACACTGTTTGCCTCTTTAAGTTTCAGCGACCTTTTTGTCACTAGCCTATCCGAGACTTTAGCATCAGGGCATCAACTCAAGACGACTTTTTGTAAAAGGACAAAGATACAAAGCGACAGACTACAGCCTCGCTACCGTAGGTACTATATTCCCAGGGTTGTTTTAGTCAAACTATGATCTATGTTGTACTCCGTATGATATTAACATTTAACAAGGGTTTTGTGTCATAACTTATTATAAGGAACAGTTCAGAAATATTTATCTAGTTGTTCACTCCGTAAGTCAACTTTCAGCTATCTATACAAAGCGCATTCAAAGGAAAGTTGAGAAATACATATGAAGCTTCATTTCTGCCGACTGGTTGGCTTTTTAGACGTACACAAACTTCCCATTGGTTATCTCCTTGACGGGTATTTTTTGCATATATTTTTGCAAATATAATCGCGCTTTCTAACACATTTCATCTAATTAAACGCACGCCCACCGTCGGATTTCATTCCCAGATTGAACAAAACGTTTGCAAACATTTTGACAATAGCCAAAATGTGCTACTGTTAGAAAGTCGCTTGTTGATTTTTAACTGCAGTACAATAATAACAGTTGAGGGGAGCACTCGTACCTGGAGATTTCTAACAATGGGGTTTGATATTTCAAATAATTCTTACTGGTGGTTGCATTCGGCTGCAGAGGTTGTTTTCAACTTGCGGAAATATGTATTACTGGTTTATGGAAGGCAGTGAGCAAAGCATCATATTTAATTCGTTGTATTTTTCTACTGAAAACTGTTTATGACAATTCAAGGAAAATAGTTAGATTTCTGACTAATTTTCGTCAGAAGAAATGTCAACATCAGCATCTGCTCCGAGGGTTAGCTCTTGAAAATACAACCTTGGAACATGCAGTGTGGTCGGAAATTTGTGCAAAATGCCGACATTTGTGACAAATTGATCATCACTTGTAAACCGGCATTGAATCATATGGAAAACTTTTAAAATAATGACGAACAGTCGTAGGTGTACCTGTAAATAAGAAGAATTATGATCAGTGCTAATGGTTTGTTTAGACAAAATGAATTTCGAGGGAATACTGAAGTTCCGTAGACATACAAAATAGCTATAATTAGACAGGTAAACGTAAATGTCGGTATGTTAATGCTTATTAGTCCTTCGCAAATTTCGATATCTCGTATGAGTTAGTGCCTTAAATGTATACGAACGCCCTTAAAGCGACGTTTGGACTGTGCTATAAATAGAAGCCCATATTTGATGTTGATTACATGCATCAAGTCATTTTTAATTGCCGTATGTGCTTGAAACCCACAAACGACTTCATGACTGCCAACACACACGGCATTAACCACAATTCGAAAGCTGCATGAGACGCCGCAGCATTTGCCGCTTTTAGTAAAAGCCCGACTTTATACTTGCATGCTAAAATTAGCATACTTCTTCAGAAAGAACGGGCCATGGGTAACTGCGACTCACAATACCCTGCATTTCCTCACTGTTATCGCATCTATGTTGTCCAGTCATCGATAGTGTCGTGGCCGAGGACCATGCAGTACTCGCATTTTTCTTGAATAATAATCCACATATAGCCTTCATTTCATATAACGTTGACATTTGTAGGCAGTTACTCTTCCGCTAGATGAGGCTACTTAGTTTATGGTTAATCCTTTTTTAGATTGTCTAGTGTATGTTGGGTAGTAAATATAACTATCAGCTATTTTAACTTCCACTTTTTGAATTTATTTCGAAAAATGCTAAGTATGAAGACAGCTAGGCAAAAGTAGTTTATGTAGTCCCACTTAATAATCCGTACTTCCAGGATTTTGTCCTACGAAAACGGTGTTTAATAGGGTTTTGTGGGTGGGGAATTTGGACACGCTGTGAAATATAGTTTACTAACTGCTATATGCAGTATTTGGATGTGTTATTGATTTGTATCTGTTGATTTTCATAATCTATATTATCGTTTAACGTATCGCAGAAAAACCCGATTATCAAATTGCAGGTTTGTTGAAATCCAGAAAAACAGAAATGGTGGATATGGGGTCGTCTACTTCAACTTAATTGAGGTCCAACCTACCGTTCTGGAGTTAGCTTAGTAAAGCCCGCAGCGCAAACTGTCGCGCACACCTCGAAATGAAATGGGGAGCAACTTACTCCCAGCGGCCGCAGGAAACAACTTCGACTACATTTTTTTACTTAACATTTACTTCTAAAAATTTTCTTCCCTGCCTATCCTAATTACTCACCCCTAAAGCCCTATAACCACCGTTTTCCTAGGACAAAATGCTGGGACTAGGATTATATGAATAGAACTACATAAACTACTTTTGTCGACAAATGTGTAGCTATCTTGAAGGGAATAGCGTTTTCCGGTCCCTAAAGCGTATTTTTTGCCTAACTTTCTGATAAATGTGCTCTTCCGGATCATTTAAATGTGTTAATAGAATTGTATGAAACAGGAGCCTTTCCAAATATCTTGAGATTACCTGACAGCTCTCTCTCAGCACGTTTACCACATTCAAACCCGGGCAGTTCTTTCATCCATTGACTACCACCTGGGAGAGCATCTACGAGGGTTTTAGAACACCAATGGATTCCCACGCACTTTGAGATATAAGAGCGTACCGGTTTTTATTGACGGCGATCGATTTTCGTTCGAAAGTAGGACGAATTTTTGCAAAGGCAGACTATGCAAATGAGGACAACGCACACGGCCAGTAAATGTGTTAGTAGACGGACTGATTTTAACATAGGTCTCTATCATGAGCTGTAGATAGCGTAGTTTTTGGTAGTTTGAATAATACTTTCATACGAATATAATCAGGCCTGAACTTAGTTTTGATTGCGAATGTTGGCAAAGCCTTCTAGGCGAAGACCATGGATAACTTAAATAAAGAAAGAGATGCAGACCATAACTTTACTTATTTGAAAAAATTCTCTGGTAGCCATGGCAAAGTCAGATTTTCTACACCTTGTATCTTCAATATATTCCATTTGCTAAAAATACAAATTTTTTTTGAAAATGTTTTTCTATTTTACGCAAGACATTACCATGGAAAAGACCAAACCATTGGACACAATTCCTTTCTTAAGGGCTACTTGGTGCATTTTTGTTAAATTAATGGATCAAATTTTCTTGAAAATTTAGGACTTCAAGCATGCGATTTTTAGTATTAGCTCCAACTAAGGGATGTCACCCACACCTCTTCGCTTGACGTATAAAACATGGTCACGGACTGCTTCAATCGGGCTTATCTCTAGCAAAGAAGTGTTCAAGTCTGTCACGTACTATGAGGGCGTTTGAACATGCAGTGGCTTCGAAATTTTGACATGTCCGCAAAAAGAGCAAAACGAGCTACAGGAACTTTTTGCGAGTACAACTTCTGTTAGTAAGATATTCTATTTTCGAGTAAGGTTTAATGTAAGTCGTGTTCCCCTAAAACTGGATAAATCCGGAGTACCTGCCTACTTCAAAAACTTTCTGTTTTCTTCTTTTAGTGGTGCAGACCTTTTGGCATTAAATATAGACGGGAATATGCCCTACGATCTGTGTGAAGATGACGACACGCTGATGCTCGTGGAGTCGCAAATGGCAGCTCGAGGTGACTATTCTGTTTTGTCCGTATATGCAGCATTAATAAGTTTTTTTCGAATTACTTCGGTGAACTTCGAGTCGGTGAATGACCTTTACTTAGGCTAAAGATACATCCATTTAAACGGTCTCGGCGAATACCTACGTAGACTAGTTCATCATATACATACGAAAAGAGTATACCGACAAAGCCACAACAGACAGACCTAGCCTATTCTAGTCTCTTGATCATCATCAGCCAGTCATACACAAACCCAGTTTTGAAGCACCTCGAGATCGAATTCAAGACCTTGGCTCCAGCGTCCTAACTCTTAGTCACTGGTCCGCTGTCCTGTAAGTTACGATCGGAAATATTTAGTACTGTAAAGCACAAGTCATGATTTATATCTGAAGATGATGGCATAAATTCAACATTAAAATAGCAATGTCAGCGGTCCTCGAGAGGGTTACGCATTTTTAGACTCTTTTAATGATATTTTATTTGAATTATTCGCGGTACTTCTTATGAACTGGAAAATATTGTCTCAACGTTTCTGCACGGTAGCATCTTGTCAGAAATCTAGCTTCAAACTTGATACAAAAAATGGATTGACCCTAAGCTAGCAACAAAATAGTGCAGGATTACTCGCAGTCAGTCCAAAACACCTGTCCGTCTGTAATCGTAATTTACCTCCAAGACATTCTATCCGTCACAGACGTCGCCGTTTTACCAGACATAAACGAGGCTCAACACCTGTGTGGTATGCTCAAGCAAGGGGCGTGTCATGTCAGCCAGTTTCGTGGAGCCCGTTTCCTCTGCATATACCTATGTTGTGATATCTCTCCCACAAGTAGCCGCGATTCTCGTTGACAGTTAATGCCACTGATAGGAAGTAAATACAAGAATTCTTTCATTTCCAAATTTTGGGATCATTTTCCAAGCAAATAAATTCATTCCTTCTTCAACAAACCTCTAGAAGAGTGGGCTAGTTTGATTTGCCATTGTATGTTTTGATAAGACTTCGTTTTGCTAGATCAACGGTCATTTCCTAGCCTATTCGATCTCTTAAGTGGAATGCTTTTCGCAGCGAAAAATTCAGTCGGGAGATGATTGGCAAACATTTGGTCTTACATTAGACAACCTAAAGTACACATTTGAGCAGGAAAGTAACTGCAATAAAAACCCTCCATAAATTGCAGGATAATTACTCGCTACATCTTCGTTACACACCTTACCGAGTGCAGAAATTGCCTAAAGTAGCACCGCATAACAAAGAACGCGATTTTCATTGCCTTCCGTAAGACATTAAATTCGACTAAAAATATTTGCTGAATATAAAAGCGGTGGGATCTAGTGAAACTAGTAAAAGTACGGAAAATAAATCAGGTCAATGGAAAGTCTATCGAGAGACTCCGTGTAAGAACTAACTATCAAACTAAGTTTAACTCCGGAACTAAGTTATTTTGTCTTAGTTTGTACAAAAATGACCTCACCTACAAAATGTAGTCCCCCTTCCACCTAGTAGAGCATCCGATCTGCTGTAATACAAATTAATCTTAGAAGAACGTAAGACGTTCTCTGGGACCAGGGGTTTATTTGTCCGACGTTTCGAACCCTCCCGCGAGCTCATTGTGCAGGAATAAAAAACGCACAGCTCAAAGTGTATTTAACTCGGTTCTGCCGGAATTGACCTCTGCCCTTGAGCTCTGCCCTCGGTCTGCTCACGCAACGCAAAGTAGGCATCAGGAAGCTCGATATGCCTGTTAATTGAGTCCACGCGTGAATGCCATGCTTCCTGCAGCAGGCGTGAAGTTCGGTCGTCTGACCGACCCACTATTCGCACGCGTCCGAAGTCGAAGCTGTGCTCTAGAGTGGGTGCGTGGGCGGCCACCAGGGAAAGCTTTTCCTTAGGTCGCACGACGAGTTCATGCTGGTGCATTCTCGTGAGAACCCGTTTGCCGGTTTGACCAACATAATTGGCTTGCCCACAAAGACAGTCAATACAGTAAATGACACCGGACTTTTGGTTAACAGGTACTTGGTCCTTGGGCCGCATAAGTTGCCTGCGGATTGTTGCTTTCGGTCTGTGATGAAACGCCAAACCTAATTTCGCTCACCAGTCGAGCGAATTCTTTAGAAACACCAGCAATATATGGTATTGCTCGCCAGCGTGTCGGTTCGGGCTGTCACCTTGGTTTTCTTCGTTTGGCTCCTCGCCTTCATTCTTCGACGAAGGTGTCAGAATAGCCATTCATTGTGAAAAGTTTCTTCAGATACTGGACCTTTGCCTTCTTGTCGGCTGATTCGCTGCAGTGAGTTTCTACACGACGATAGGGCGTTCGCATGCAGCTGCGTTTGTGCGAGACGCGATGGTTGTTGAGATAACTCAGGATGCGAGAGGTATTCGTTGCCTTTCTGTGAACTGTTGTTTTGAGTTCCCCACCGTCTTTTCTGCACACCAGCGAGTCGACGAAAGGCAACTGGCAGTCTTTTTCTTCCGCCATCGTAAACTGGATGTCGGGGAAGATCGAGTTCAGATTCTCTGTCAAATCCCCAATCTTGTCTCGACGAATGATGACAAACGTCTCATCAACATACCGAACCCACAATCGTGTTCGATAACTTTCGAAAGCCAGTGCCTCCACTAGTTGTAGTACTGCTTCGGCAAAGAGGCCAAATAATGGCGATCCCATTGGTGTACCTCTTACTTGTTCATACACCGTTCCACTGAAGGTGAAAAAGGTGCTCATGAAGGTGAAAAAGGTGCTCAAACAGTGTTTCAGGAGTCCAATGAGATGCTCTATTTTGAGTTTCGAGTCCGTCTCGTTGTACTTCTCTTCTACCCCGGTTTGGATGGTTTCAACCGCAAGATGTTGCGGCATCGAGGTGAAAAGTGAGGTCACAACGAAAGATACCATCACTTTGTCAGATGTCAGTTGAATAACCTGTAGCTTTTGTATGAATTGTTCAGCTAAGCTGACGGTCGTTGCAGGAAGTCAATTTTATGAACAAGAAAGTACCGATGCTCTCCTCGACATATCTGTTAATTACTCGATAGACGTGATGCATAGGGCTACGAAAATCCAGCTGTTTGCTCGACATGTGCACCACTTGATTGTAAATTAAGCTTTTACTCCGCAAAGCGAACTTCTTCTACTGTGTCCCATTTTGACACTCAGTGTTCCTTTAAGTTGTGCTGCAATTCAGGGCCTTCCGCCTCACTGATTACGTCAAGAAACTTTTTAGATTTTCGCCTCGGATAATTTTGCTTCAGCGGATAGTATTATAATCTGCAAACATTTATCTACTCTTCAGAAGCGCTTTTTATAACATATGGAGACATCTTCAAAGGAGACTTAAAATAGACTAGAGCTTTTCGTCCGTCTTTATAGCGCATCCATTAGCGCCGTTTGAAAGTAAAGGTCTACGTACAGAAACGAATTGCCGAAGTTTTTAATAGCCCATGTCAATTAGCAAAAACCTCAGCTGTTAATATTCTATTATAGGAAAGGATTATTTTTATAGTTAATCAATTTTTTTTGATTGTGTTGACAACCGTTCGGTTTTTAAAAAATTCTCCGCGAAAAATGCTGGCATTGAACTTTAAATGTTCCCCTAATGTGATTAAACTGGGGGAAAAATATGCTACAAGACGCAAAATTAAAAACTTTCGTTATAATTTCTAAAAACTGGAAAATTTTGCTCCAAAAATGATAAACTACCTAACCCAGTTAATGACAGAGAAACATTTTTATGGAAAACTCAGACGCAGATTTGGGGCTGAATATGTGCTTTATAATTAGCCGAATAAATGAAACTTCCTGAAACCCAGTCACCAGCTCACCGTTACACATTAATAGTAAGTTTCTCGTACACCGTCTAAGCCCCTGCCTTAGAAGCTCATAAAAAGGCGTTATATGTAAGAATAACGAGACAGTTACTTTCGGGGAATGTGGTAGGGTAGAAAAATAGACCTTTAGATATAAAAATGGAAAGTAAAAGAAGAATAGAACATGCGAAAAATATCAGAAAGAATCAAGACAGTGTTTAGACGAATATACGCCAGTAAGATATGTTCGATCTTACAGGTCGTAATGTGAAGGCTTGACTCCACAGTCTTTTAAAGCCACCGTTTAACCCGTAATCTAAAAAACAGGTCAGTTTGGCAGGTCAAAGTGTAACCTATAACACTGATGAATACAAGTAAACAAGCTAAATAACAGTCAGAGATAGTAAACTGAGAAAGACTGTGAAGATTTAGGTGACTGTTTCTAACATGATAGCCATGATCAATCGGGGGCGATCCGATCCCAGGTTGAATATTTTAACATCCCGTCTATTTTACGATCTGCAACTACCCTGATTTACTGCAAAGCCGTATATTGGAACTGCAGGACATGAACAAATGAAAACGCTCTGAATTATAATGTGACCGGCGAACATCGTTTCAACTGACTTGGGGGTTTCAACTTGAGTTTTCACTTAACGAATTGAAGTCCCAAATATTCATATCCATCTCGAAATACACACTGTACTTGAACATTTTAAGGCTGAAAACGAGGTTTCAAAGTTTGAACAAGACTATATGAAATATAGTTTTGTTCAAAAGAAACTGAACTATTTACCAATACCTGAAAGCTTTTGGAACGTTTCCTTTCTTCGGTGCTCGTAGGTACTAGTTCCTAAAAGTTTGAGAAATTACTAAAAAAGAGAGAGAGAGAGAGAGAGAGAGTAGGACTTTGTGTTCTACAATACGGATTTCTCAGTTTCCTTTTCTGAATTGGTATGAGTGGGAAGTACGGGTGGGTACAAGGACTAAAAAACTGGCTGTATTTAACTGATGCTATCAGGGTTTGTTTTGCATGCCAAATTTCTTTGCATGCTTTTACCTTCTGGGCAAAACTTTTATACAGTTAGTACTTCAATCAGTTTTGAAAACGTATAATGGATGCAGGGGGAGATACGGCACTCCAGAGGAAACCTGCCGTCATTCTTTACAATCCACGTAGGAATGCATCAGATTATTTCTTAGAATTCTGCTTCCTATTAACGGCGTTTTTTTCCAGTCCCACCCGGTTTCATTAGATTACTAAAAGTTACTGGTGGCTACCAGCGGCTACTTCAAGTACTTATGATAATATTTGCAAGCTCCTGGAATGTTGTGGGTGATTAAATATGCAATGTCTAAGTTTAATTGCGCTATCACGTATGAGGTTATGTCCAATGGAAGCAAGCCCCTAATAACCCGTGCATTTATGCTTTTTGATTGCATATTTTATTAAATAAAACCAATTTACTATTGCTCAAGACAAAAGAGTCAAGCTGGTGGAGAGTACATTTTAGGTTATAAGAAAGCGTTCATCAGAAGGAGCATGCTAATTGTTTGACGTCGCAAACGAAAATCTGCTTTATCTAATATATCCAGTAATTGTGGGTAAATTAATGCGCCGGACCAACATGGGGCCAGATCAGCGTACGGCAAACGTTATTTTGGTTACGCTGCCATAACAAATGCCCAAACATGGGAGAAGTGGTTGCACAGGTAGGGTTCGGCTCACGCCGCACCAACCC